CTTAAGGAGCTCACTTTCTGTTCAAATGTCTGCACAAGGTCTTAAAAATGTATGTAACAATTAGGAAATGAAGTAGAAATGTTTTGGATAGTAAGAAGCAGTTATGCTTACAAAGGAGCAATGAACCAGATAGGCTATTCCTGACAGGTATCATATTGGAATTTGGAAGTTACCGTATATACTAGAGTATAAGCCATCCTGAATATTCACCTAGGCATCTCATTTTACCACAAAATCTGCATAGAAATGTGCTGAAACACTTGGCTTATACTTCAATATATACAGTACACCTCATTCACAAGATTTACAAGAATATATATTTGTTCAGGAAGATAAAGGTATTGGATACAAATTACAAATATATGAAAAGAATGATTGATATAAAGACATTTTATGATTTAAATTGTTCTTTTCTTCTTTGAGGAATTCTGTATTTTAATATCATTAACTAGTAATATTATAACACTGTAAATTGGTTGAATTCAATGCTCATAGAGCAGGATTGATATAAGAAATGTATAGAGATTATAGTCATTAGTCACTTTTCAAGTCTGGAACTGAATTTACTGCTAGGTTTACCACTCCATCAGTTTTCAGCCATACAATAAGCAGACATATTAGGGGACCAGTAACTCTAGTGGGATATGCACTCTTTAGAATTTTCAACCATTCTAGAAAAAAAGAGCAACATTTACCCAAGGAGAAAGTTCAGAAGAGTTAAGAATAAAAGTGAAATGCAAACAGGAAATAGCAGGCGGTATTGGGATAAATGATGTAACGTGGAGGGCATTCCATTGAATGAGATGGAACCAGATGTGTTTGAATATAAACCTGGCGTTCGCTGTGTAAACCTTCACCTGATTCACACAAAAACGTTTTTAAAAGATAAAAAGAAAGTAACTGTCTTGTGTTTGTTTTCCTCTTCATTGATTTAGGATATGAAATCCTTTTCTAATGTTCAAATATACTTATCATACACAGACTCATTGTTTTATGCATGTATTGGTTTCCTAGAATAATGACTGACAGGCACCCTGTAATTATTGTTATGCATAGTGTTATATTCAGAAATTCATACATATCTTGTTTGGACATCTGAATTATCATAAATATAATTAATTGCATAAAAGAATCTAGATGCAAAACTCCACAATTGTTTTCCAATCAACCTGTCTCTCGCGGCTGAGTCTCTCTCTCTCTGTTTGTCTTTCCTACTACATACAGTCTAACACTACTTTAGACTATTTTCACTGTGACCTAGCTTATTGACAATTTTGAGTGTGTTATCACTGATTTCTTTTTCTAGAAGCAGGCTTACTACCTAGCAATATAATCATAGTTCAAGCTGTTAGATCTATTTTGTCTTAAAAAAAAAAGATAAATTAGCCCCGATTTTTTAGAGCTTTAGATCTTTTAATACTCTTAAGTGATTCCCCTTTTGTTAGCTGTCTTTGATAGTTTTTTGTGTTTGTATGTGTGTGCCAACATGACACCTGTAAGAAGAGATGGGTGGAGTTTAGCCAATCAGGTGGCAGCTTGATGACCTCCATTTGGAGGTGCCACAGAGATAGATAAATGGCTCTCTGGAAGTGGGCTGCTCTCTTTCTCTCTGCCTTCACCCTCATGCTTGTGAGCCATGCAGAGACCTGCACCAGCTCTCTGGTGCTTCCAGCCCCATTTGGTCCACAAGACTTTTCACCCACTGGCCTGTAATCTTCCTGCATTTTGCATCATTCCTGTGGCTGCGTGAGTCTGAAGATAGATTCATGGACTAGTATCAGACTTATGGACTAGTACTGGATTTATGGGCTAGTGTTGGGCTTATGGACTTGATCTGGACTGAGCTGGGATGTTTTCCTCTTATATAACTACTTTTTGATATAAAGTTATCTCATACATTTATGGGTGTCACTGGATTTGTTTCTCTAGTCAACCCACCCTAACTCAGTGTCTCTCACTTCTCGAATCTTCCCCAGAGAGAGAATGAAAAGGACATTTCAGTTGTACTCTCACCCCACTCCATGCCTAATAGCTTCAGGAATGACCCATTTCTGCTTGCAAACAAGAATTGAATTTCATTTTATTATCATGTTCTCATTATTTTATTCTGTGCTTCTATTTGTTTTTTTTAGGAAATTGTTTGTGATATCCATATTACTAAGAATCTCATTGCTACATTGCTTGTTTCCTTGGCTTGAGGACTGGTTAGATTTATTTCCCCTGGGTTTGTCATCAGAGATGTTCCACTGGCTCTGTTTTGTTCTGAGTAGAGGGAAATAGTGCATTTACCTCCCCACCTAAAGCTAGGTTTGTCCATGTCCATGTAAGTACAGCTGGCTTCCTTTAATTATAGACCAAAAAAATTAAGGTAGAGAAAAGCATCCTTACATTCTGTTTAAACTGTATCTCTTTGGTACAAGTGATTGGTTCTAGGGATCTGTTCCTTCATATATGAAAGAGTCACTAGAAAGGGAATAAGGTGACTTCTAGTAATAATAAGGAACTGCACAGTACAACCAATGATCTGCTACCATTTGTATTATCCACAGGAACATAGATCTACTATCTCATTTTCATGATTGCATGAATAACAGAGATTCACTGCAATCAGAACCCAAATCTCAGAAATATTAAAAAGAAGAAAAAATGATCTGGGATGTCCATAATTGACATTTGTTGTTAATCAATGTTAATATTCCATCTAACATTTTAAGTGTGTGCCATCTATCATTTTAATTGTGTGTGACTCTGTACATATGCGATGTGCACAAAGTACCCATAGGATTTTTTTTTGTTCTTATAGAAAATACCTATATTTTTGTATAAATGGCTTTCTTAGTTCATAATTTTTCATCTTTTATAGTTGCTAGAAAGTTAAAAAACAGCAAAAGCAATGTATAAACATTTTGTACCTCCTGATTTTCTTACTATATGTAAATATTTCAATAATAATATCTGTTTGATCAAACCATGGGATTATATAGAAATATTTAATCTGATATGCACAAAAATCAAGTTTAATGTTCATTAATATTTGTAGATAATCATAGTTTGTAAAATGCATTATCAGAGAAAGGTCTTTGGCTCCTCCAGGGAATGGTTTCTCTAGAGTGCTATTGTGGAATAAAAATGTATTGTAGTTTGAATTAATGCATATTGATAACCTGGTTTTCAACCAATATGTTACAACTGTATGTCTACCTATAGAAATGCATTACATTTCTGACTAAATTACAACTGTCTAAATTAACTCCAGCCTGGCAAAAGTTTATTCGAGGGAGAAAGTGACACAATAAAAATATAGAATGGGAACTGATACATAGATTACTTATGCAAATTGATCCAATATGAAAATATTGCAAGTGGTTTTAAAATTTTTGAAATAATTGCCACTGTATGGAATAAACAAGATATATTTATGAGCTAAAATCTGAATAAAATTAAAGCAATTCACATACAGTCAACTCAGTCCTTTAGAGTGCATACTATTGCATAGTAATTTTCTCAGTGCCATTATGACATCCTTGTTTCTTAGACTATATATCATGGGATTAAGCATTGGTGTTAGAATGCTGTAGCAAAGAGAAAAGACCTTTCCAGTTCCCCCTGAGTGACTGGTCGTAGGTCTTACATAGGTAATAAGTCCTGATCCAAAGAACAATAGCACAACTATAAGATGAGATGAGCAGGTGGAGAAGGCTTTGGCTTGACCTGTGGCTGATGGCAACTTCAGGATGGTGGAGATGATTTTACTGTAGGAGCCAAGTATTAGCAGAAATGGAACTATGCCAAAGAACACATCTTGTATGTAGATCAATATCACATTTATAAAGGTGTCCACACAAGCCAAATTGAGTATTGGGGGAATGTCACAGAAGAAGTGGTTGATTTGGTTAGATCCACAAAAAGACAGAGAGAAAATTTTATATGTCTGCCCAATATCAATAGGAATGCCAAAGATCCAGGAGCCAGTCACCAGCTGGATACAGAGCCTGTGGTTCATGATGAGAGGATAGTGCAGGGGGTGACAAATGGCCACATAGCGGTCATAGGCCATCACTGCCAAAAGCAAACATTCTGTACCTCCAGTCAAAAGGACAAAGAACATCTGTATGGCACAGGCAATTAAAGAAATTCTTCTTCTCTGGGTCCCAAGATTCATCAGCATTCTGGGCAGAGTTACGGAGACGTAGCAGGTTTCTAAGAAGGAAAAATTTCCCAGGAAAAAATACATTGGACTCTGGAGAGCAGGATCCAGTTTGGTTATTAGAAAGATGGTGCCATTGCTCATCAGGATAATAATGTAGATGGTTAAAAACAATGCAAAAAGAAACCACTGTAGATGGGGCAAGTCAGCAAAACCCAAGAGAACAAATTCCATCAATGCAGTTACATTATCTTCTGGTAGTTTTTCTTCATGATTCATCTGTGGAAAATAAATTTAAATATCCATTTCCCTTTCCTGTATCTCTGTTTTTCCTGTAAATTGAATTGAGGTTTCAGAGGGGATTTTATGATCTCTTCTATTGTTTGAAATTTACAAATAATGTAATTTATGCTTGTTCCATATTCTTTTCTTAAATTGCAGTAAAGGGTCTCATAAAATTTATTTTAAGGTCATTTCACTATATATTGGAGCATCCAAAAAATTCACTGTCACATAGTCTATTGCAGCTCATAGCAACCCTATAGGACTGGGTAGAACTGTATCTGGTTTTCTGAGATTCTAACTCTTTACAGGAGTCCAAAGCCTTACTGCTTTCCCACAGAGCTGCTGGTGGTTTCAAACTGTGGACCTTGAGGTTAAGCAGCCCAGTGTGCAATTCACTATGCCACCAGAGCATAGCCCTGGATAAATCAAGCAATACCTTTGTATAGTACACACCCACTAACAATTGCCAGTTGCAGTAGATGACCCTTCATCTGCGTCACCTGATCTTACTTTCCATTAATCACACATCTTGACAATGCTCTTGTGCTTCTATGAATATTTCACCAGTCAAGCTTTTCAAACAAATGGCTTGAAATATAGTTCAACATTTATTTGCAACTGCCTGGTTCAATACTTTATTCTCCCATCAACTGATTAAGTACATAAAGTTTTACAGGGCATGTAGGTCATATTAGATAGATGAGAAAGAAACTTGCGAGACTATTTCGTTTTATATCAGAAAAAAGAATATTTAGAAATATTTAGAAAGGAAATCAAATGGGCAAGAAAAGAGGTTTCTCTTTGGTGAAGTTAGCCTGGAACGTTGATTCAGAATCAAACAATTAAGTTCAATCACGGGAAATAGGGTTGGCAGGAGAGTATTTGGTGCCTGTCTGGGCGAGTCTGTGACAGGAGGAACAATGCCATCTCCGAGCTTATTTGAATTCTGCCAGGTCCCCCCCCCACACCATTATTTCTACTGTGACTTAAAAAAAGAACATTCTGTTTCATCAGGGCCAGCATCAGGGATAATACGTGATTCTCCTGAGCAACAAATATAAGGATGTATTGAAGGCTTTCTTTGCATGAATTTATTGATCTTTCTTATCACAGGTTTCTTGTGGAAATGAAATGAGCTTTCAAAAGATGTTACCAAAATGTTACAAAACAATACTAAAAATAACCAACTCACAAATTCTAGTTTCCTTATGAATCCTCTGATGATATTTGTGTTTATTTCAATCTCTCTACTCTGTTGACTGTAACAATGACAGTACCTAATACACCTCAGCACTTTGAATTTCAATTCGGGTAACAACCTTATATACCTTTCTTTTCCACATATTAAATGATCTTAGAGTTAAAAGTTGTGACTCTTGTCCTATTTGAAATCAACATAAAGCCTAGATAATGGATATACCAAACCAAACCCAATGTCACTGAGCGGATGCAGACTCATAACAACCCTAAAAGGTTCTTGTGAGTTCCTGAGACTGCAACTCTTTAAGGGGGTAGAAGGACTCATTTTTCTCCTCTGGAGAATCTGGTGGTTTTGAACTGCTGACCTCACAGTTAACTGTCCCACTCGTAGCCTACTCCACCAAGGTCCAGATATTTTTATGTATTACTATATAAATAACAACATTCAATAAAAAAGCATCTTGTTATTCAACTCAGTGAATCCACGGACTGCTGGATGAAGCAGAGCCTGGTCCTGCGCCTTCCTGACCATTGTTGCTGGGTGTCAGCCCTTGGTTGTAGTCCTATGTGCCACTTCCTCGCACTGGAATTCTTTCTTACTTTACTGCTGCTCTGTTTTACCAAGCAGGATGTTCTTCTCTATAGATTGTTTTTTTTTCTGATATCATAGTCAAAGTACATGAGATGGGAAATGAAATATAGCCATTCTACCTTCTAAGGGGCATTCTGGCAGTACTTCTTCCATGAT